ACGCAAAGGTCATTACATTCAGCGAAAACAATGGCAAATGCAGACGATAATTGCGTTAAAAAAATAGGCAAATAAAATAACAGAAGATTTAAGAACTTTCTTGAGGTGTCTCCTTGAAAAAACAGATAAACAATCACGCAGTCACGCTACAAATACTACTTCTGCGTGGAATTTCTTGATGGTGGAAAGTGGAAAAAACATTTTCCAGTCTTCTTTTCTGGAAACATGGTGCAGTTAATGAATTTTATGGAGCTTTTGATATTTCTTTTCAAATGAGAGAGCCAGGGTTTCCCGTCATCCACGGTCTGCAAAAGTTGTTACACACGGCAACTTGTACGTAAACAAGCACGCGACATGTTTGTTGAGAGATGTCAAGGGGGAAATAAATAATCAGGGCCGGAGCCAGACTTCAGAACAAGACGAGGCAAGTTTCGAGCACCGAAGGCCGAAGGTACGAATTCCGTGGAATTTTTTTTTTCAGAAAAGTCAATCTTGCGCCAAAATCAAGACGAGGCAATTGCAATTGCAATTGGGAAGTGAGAGAAGGAGGGATGGTGGAGGGAAGGGTGACAGGGGACTGAAGAAAGAAAGAAAGAAAGAAAGAAGTCTACTACCATTATCAATGAAAGCCAACCCTAATAAATCCAACATTTCAAGTAAAAAAGGTGACAAGTTATTATATTGTTTCAAAATTCTTCGATATTTTTTACCATGCCCTCCACTGATAATGTTGAGAATTAAGGAGTGTTCGCTATGAATGAGAAGTGTATTGTCTTCTTTGGCATTTAAAAGGCGCAAACTTGATGAGTGAGTGGTAGATTACAGCTTATTTTGGCCACGAAAGAAATGAAAAAGCAGAGCTATCAGCCTATCATTGATCTCGACTAGGATTCCAGTCGAGAATAAGTGTTTTCGAAGACCAGTATTCTTGTGAAGCTTTTAAGAGATTTCTTACAAGGAGGAAATAAATAATCAGGGCCGTAGCCAGACTTCAGAACAAGACTAGGCAAGTTTCGAGCGCCGAAGGGCGAAGGTACGAATTCCGTGGAATTTTTCTTCAGAAAAGTCAATTTTGGGCCAAACCTCATGCTAGCCACAACCCATGATAATCAGCAATACTTTCATTTCATCTTACCTTCGAATTCAATTCCATTTGCTGAGAATGCCAAAAGTAGGAAGATTGCAGAGAGTAGTATTCCATGTTTCAAGGTCATCTTGAAGCCAAAAGGTAAACAGCAATACCAGACAAACTTGTTTACTGTTAACACTCGTCGTCAATATTCTCAATAACCTCTCCCACGCTTTGTTCGCCTTAATGTAGAGTTTGACACGGTTCATGTCCCGATAGACATTGGATTAAAACGTCTTTTGTTTTAAATACAATAGAATGGTTTTCCTGATGAAATATATTATTAGAAATGGGAATAATAAAGAGGAAAAGTTAGTCTAGCGTTTCAATGAGAGCGTGCAAAAATGAAGGATTAACGCGTACGGTTGCTTTATTTTGTTCCTCTGTGAGCAAACCTGAAGTATTTAGAACTAGTTCAGTTTCATCATCATTTCATCGGCTGGTTACGGCAATTATGTAGTGCACATCGTAGAGAAAGCCACTTAAGCAGTGAACTACAGATGTAAATAGTTAGTAGTTGAAGTTTTACGAAATATCTTTGGAAAGTCTTCATTTTGAGCTGATCTTTTGCGTTCCATGGCAAAAAAAATACATATCTTCAAGAATTAGTGTAAAACTGGAAAATTTCACACTAAAAATGGCAAATAAAATAACAGAAGGTTTAAGAACTTTCTTGAAGTGTTTTCTTGAAAACGCAGATAAACAATCACGCAGTCACGCTACAAATACTATTTCTGCGCGGAATTTCTTGATGGTGGAAAGTGGAAGAAACATTTTTCAGTCTTCTTTTCTGGAAACATGGCGCAGTTAATGAATTTTATGGGGCTTTTGATATTTCTTTTCAAATGAGAGAGCCAGGGTTTTCCGTCGTTCACGGTCTGCAAAAGTTGTTACACACGGCAACTTGTACGTAAACAAGCACGCGACATGTGACTTTAAAATCTCCCCTTCTGTTACAGTTTCCTCATTGTGAACTGCGCGATAATGTTAATAAATGATAAAATTATAGAATAATGAATGTTTTGTTCCGTACTAAAGCCTTATTTCCTGTATTTTGCAAATCTCCAAAGTAATAAACGACAGAATAAAGAAACGCTACGATTTTTCCATCGATCTTTCGCCTACATGTATCTCTCTAAACGTGAAATTTTTCATTCCCACAAGAAATCTTAAAAGTTTTTCAGTTGTTTTTAGCTTTCGTGATCAATTATCTCGTATAGAGAGCTAAAAGATGTAGGTTTTTCTGGTCAAGTGACCGCCTAGAGCCAGAATTGCGTGACGGTTGTAGTTTTGAGACACTTATCACAATCGCAGATTTTAA